CCAGGAGTCCAGCCTCCAGCACTATCTGTGACCATGTTCTGCTTCCATTCATTAAGCCTTTGGACTCTGACAATTGTTCAAAGTTATACATAAGGTTTTCAGTGGGCAACCAATTCCTTCTTCATTGTCTGTTCTTAGTCTAGAAGCTCTACTGAAACCTGGTTACTTTGGGTGACCCTGCTGGCATTTGAAATACCTGGGACATAGCTGCCAGCATCACAGCCACACACAAGCCACCACAGTACAACCGACTGATAGACAAGTGGTGGTTACAGAATGCCTCATGTTTCTCCTGAGGCATGGTTGGTGGTTTCGAACTGCTGATCTCGGGGTTAGCAGCGAAACACAAAACCATGATACCACCTGGGCTTCTCACTCTCCCAGCGTTGCTGTTACCTATTTTTATATTTATTATCTATCTATCTATCAATTTATTTATTTATTTACAGACTGAGTCTTTTCCTGTCCCAGAAACAGGTGAAGCTTGGCCCGAATGCTCTCCACCAGTACAGTATAAAGTTGCATCCTCTCAGTTTTGTTTTGTTTTTCTTAAAGCTCAATTGAGGTGTTTTTTCCTCTGCACTTATTGTCTTGGGACCCCTAATAAGATCGTACCTGGCCCCTTCTCTATTCCTTTTCCTCATATCACTTATGACAGACTGTACTTTCTGTTTTCTTATTGACTGACTTTCTTCGTAGACTGTAAAGGCCATGGGACGATTGGATCCTCAGTGATTCTCTCCTATCTTAGACTGTGAGTTCCAATGGAACATCTGGCTTTTAATCACATAAATACATTTGCCACTTAACTAAATCAGAGAGCTCTTGTGGGTGTGACGTTACAAACATGGGATAGATGGAATGAGGGGGCTTCAAAAAGTTTGCAGAAAAATCCCATTATCTTTTCATTGCCTTTTCCCACAAACTTTTTGAAGACCCCACATATATAAGTCTTCAAAAGTTTATTGGAGTCTTCAAAAAGCCTGTTGAAAATGCATGGGGAAAATACACCCCAATAAGCTCCTACTAACTTGTTATCACATGTCTGATCAGGCTCTAGTTTGGGGCACTAGGAAGGATAGGACATCAGTTTGAACAGAGGCCCTGCCAGAACAACATGAATTCTGCTGAAACTGAAACCAGAACAAACAGCAAATTTATGTTGAATTTGAGTGGAAAATTTGTGCTTTATGAAAAGATTGTGCGGACAAAGCCCTGAAGAAATCAGTTTTTAGAAGGGGCAAGAGGATGTGGAAGATGAAGTCCATAGATGCAGACCATCCACTTTAATTTTCAAGGGAAATATTGATCTTTTTCATCACTAATTGAAGAGGACCAAAGAATACCAGCAGAAACAACAGTCAACAACTCAATTGGTTCCGTTTACACAATCCTGCCTGAAAAATTGAAATTGGGCAAACTTCTCCCTGATGCGTACCCAAACTGTTGCAGCCAGAGCAGCTGGAGACAAGAATTTCCATGGAAATTTTAAACAAGTAGAATCTAGAACCACAAGTATTTCTTGGGAGAATTGTACCAGGATATGATACATGACTTCCCCAGGGCAATCCTGGAGACCAAGCACAAGCAAAGGAATGGCTACCAACAGGTGGAAGTGGTTTGACTAAAGCAAACGTGGGCAAGCGAAAAGCAAAGTTCATTCCAGAAGCTTTGGGGGATGGTTAATGTATTCTGATTTTTTACTTTCTGGAGGGCCAAAGAAAAATAACATTTTCCTTATTGTAAGAGTCTTGAAAGACAGCCAAAGCTTTTGCAGAAAAAAATGCCTGGGTAAGTTTCACCTTCTTGTTGCTCCACCATAAGGCTCCTTTTTGTTCCTGTGATCAAAAAAGGGAAAATTTGAGAGAGGTTTGATAGGAAATTATTAGACACCGCCTCCCAGTCCTGATTTGGCTCTGGCTTCTTTTTATTTCCTAATTTAAAAAAATCATTAAAGGGCACCCATTTCTCTTCAGTTTGTCAAGTAAAAAAGATTGCATAGACAAGATTAAATTCCCAGGACTGTCAATTCTGTAGGGATAGACCAGATACATGACTTGTATCATGGCTTATAAGTGTCGACTTGGATGGAATATGTTAAGAATATGTA